GGTTAGGCTAAAGTAACGTGGTACACTTGTACTAAATGGAGTCACCTGGCCGCCTTAACGTTAATTTAATTGTTGGTTAAAATTTCTTTTGTTAGATACTAAAGAAAGTAATTATATTTCTCCAAACTATAATAATAGTATTTTATCAAGTCCTAAAACTCAAAGTCCACACTTAAAAAAAAAAAAATATTGAAAGTACTGAAGACGGTTATTATTATTATTATTATTATTATTATTATTATTATTATTATTAATAATAATGACATGGGCATGAAATAGCTCGATCCATCACATCTAGAACTGACTTTAGTGATATTAGATAATTAAACAATATTGGCCATTGATTCATTCAAGTAGAATCCAACGGCTGTAGAAGACGGTAATAAGAACTTGATTCGACCTTTACACGTGTCAAACGTTAATTAATGGAAAGGTGTGCGTTGACTTTGAAACCATACAAACCATATTAATGGTTTTGGGCGAAGTCCATAGATTAACATAGCCATTATTACCCCCAAACCACAAATATTGAAACCAATATTGGTCACTTGTAGATAACGTTGATTTGTTCCACGGAAAAGATATATTTTAAGGACGTGATTGTTTATGAAATATTTCATTCAAAATGAGTTATTTTAGTTAACTAGAGTTAATTTTGAAAAAGATAGTATGGTTAATTGTTAGTGGGATATAAATGATTGAAAATGATTATTAATGATTTGATGTAAAAGTAGGATATAAATGATTGGAAATGATTGGAAATGATAGGTAGTTGAAATTATGTGAGTGGATGAATAGTAAATTAAAGTTGATGTGATATTTAAGAATGATTGATTTATAATATTTAATTATATAAATAATATAAATGATAGTGGGGTTGAGTTAAAGTTGAGTTAGATTTTGAGTGGGAAATGAATTATTTCATAAACAAGCATGCCCTAAAATTCGTAAAACTGTTTTTCAAGTGTGTAAATCTCAATTTACTCATTTGATTATTTATGGAGATATTTATTAATAATAATCAATTGAGAAGAACTTGAAATTAATTTAATTTGTTGCAATTTTTATATTACATCCTCAATATACACGTGATTTGCAATTTGAGAACAAATTTGTAACTTGGCCAAACTAATAGTTTATTTAATGCTATTGATATTTTTCAAAAAACAAAAAATAAAAATAAAAATCTGTCCCGGTATGAAATGTTAGTTACACCGTTGGTTCATGGTACCGCACATTAACGATTCATTAATTAAAATGAACTCGACCTGCATTAAAGATTAGTACCAATTAATAATTAATAATTAATAAATACTTATAGTTTTTACATTTTTGCTATATGTATAATATTATATACTTTGGGAAATGTGTAAAGATGGTACTAGCTATAATATCATGTGGTTTTGTTGTAAGCAAGTCGAATAGAGTTAGCGGCATAAATAACTACTTTAATTAATTAAATGGGCTTGCATTTCAATTGAGGTTTAAATGTCATTGGATATAAGCCTTTTTTTCCGAATAAAATTGAAAAAATATTAGATAAATGGTTATAATTTTTTTGTTTTATTTATATATATATATATAAAGAATCTATATATATATATATATATATAATAAGAATTAACATTTACTAAAAATAGTAGCAAAAATTTAGGAAACATTTAATGCATACTATTTTTAGAAACTTTTTAAATATATCCATTAATTTTTTCCATATACACGTTTTCAAATAAGATCAAATAATATATGATCAAAAAATTACTTAAATAAATTTATTAATATCTGCAATATTTTCATTAATATTTATTATAATAAATTACAAGATTGATTTTTCGTAATCCATGTTGATAATAATTTGGTCAAGATAAATATTATTTTATTAATATTTGTAATACTTTCATTGATATTCATTATAATAAATTACAAGATTGATTTCCATGATCCATGTTGATAATATTTTGGTCAAGATAAATATTACACCATATGTTAAGTTCTAACCATAATATTAAGTTTTTTTCACAAATATTCACTTTTATCCAAAAATATTTATGGAAAATTGTAACAGGTTAGGTAATTTTTTTTTTTAAAGTAATCAGACAAAATCAAGTTGGTGAATTAATCTTTGCCAATAGATTTTTTTCTTAAGCTTTATTTTGTTATATATAAAAAATAAATTGTTCTTCAAATTAATATAATTTACCATTTAAGAAATAATGACTAGATACATTAAATAGTTTTACTAATGGTAAAAAATTAAATTTGAAATATATTAAGTATTTTTTAGGATTTATTTGTATATTATTGGCACCCATGATTATTTTATTTATTTATTTCTATAATTAAATTCTTGTAAAATATATTTTCATTGCAGAGTATGCTAAATAAACTATAAATCCTTATAATGCGAATTAAAAAAATCTTGATCATAGAAGAGATTGAGTTTTTGGCATTTCCTAATTAGTATACAAAATTAAATTCTCAAAAAACATGTGTATATTTTGTAAAATATTTATACACTATTTAATTTTAAATTTATTTACATATTTTAAATTGATTACATAAATAAATAATACTAACGTACATTAAATATTTTCCATTACATAAAATAAAAAGAAAAACAAGACGTACAACTTCTATGACTTTCTAAATAATAATGACAATGTATGACAACAAAGTTTATAATAAAATAATAATTAAGTATTATATAGTGAACAAGAATAAGTAAAATGTTATTCTCTCTTATATCAAGGAATAAATATATATATATATATATTAAAATTAAATTTATATTATTATAAATGTGTTAGTGAGATAATATATTAATTATTTTACAAGCTAGCCCTAACATGCTCATATTTAATGTTTTGACTAAAAAACAACGCGTGCAAAATAGATTGTAACCTTATTGTTTATTACACTTAACGCTGATTAAAAGAGGTGAAAAATAAATGATAACCTTTATATACTTAAACGGACAAAGCCTGTGAAAATAATTCATTTAGTATTTTTATCTCGTGCATCGCACGGGGTACGTACTAGTAACCATTTATTAAAAATAGTAGCAAAAAAGTCAATGTGCATTTAATGCATACTTTATTTAAAAACTTTTTAAATATATGTATTAATTGATTTAATATACACATTTCCAAATCAGATTAATCAAGAAGATTCTTTCCTTTTTATGAACATGTGCAATAATTTTATTGATATCCATTATAGTAATAAACTATAATTTGATTATTCGTTATTGGTGTTGATAATATTTTGGTCAACATAAACATGAAAATAAATTTTAAGTAACCATATTATTAACTTTTTTCACAAATGTTGACTTTCATCCTAAAATATTTATAAACAATCGTAACATGTTAAATAATTTTTCTCTAACTAATTAGCCGAAATCAAGTTGGTGAATTAATATTTTTCGATAATATTTCTAACCATTATTTTTATATAAACAAATAATTTTTTTTAAATTAGAATAATTTACCATTTAAGAAATAATGATCACATCATTAAATAGTTTATTAATGGCTAAATAATAAAATAAAAATATATTAACATTATTTGCAGTTTCAACATTTGATTTATTTGTATTTTATTGTCAACCATAATAATTTTATCATTTTTTTATTTTTATTTGTTTCCATAATGAATTTATTGTAAAATATATATTTATATTGCATAGTATATTAAATAAACTAATAAAGCCTTAGGATGCAAATTAGAAAAATCTCTTTATTATGTAAGGGTTTATTATTTGACAATTTGCTAAATCAATTTTTTTAATTATTATGAGAAAATTAAATTCTAAAAAACATGTGTTTGTATCTTCTAAACATTTATACACAAAATTTTATTTCAAACTTCATTACATAAACTAAGAAGAAAAAGACTACTTCCATAACCTTTATAAATAATAATAATAATGATATTGTATGACAACAAATATTATAATAAAATAATAATTGAGTATTAAATGGTGAACAGGATTAAGCATAATTTTTATTTTTTTTCTTATATCGATGAATAAATATATATTGTAGAATCAAATTTATATTAGTATAACGTGTTAGCAGAATGATATATTAATTAACATGTCAATGTTATGACTAAAATACACATCACTGATTGAAAGAAGTGAAAAATTGATGCTCCAACCATATTATTTTTTGCCAAAACGTACAAACCCTATAGAAATGACTCAATTAATATATATGTTCCGTGCATCGCACGGCTATGTTTCACAAGACAAACTTTCTGTTCAAATAAAATTGTAAATTTTTATAAGCCTTAGCAGTCTCATTTTCACCTTTTGTTCTTTTCTATTTTTTGTTTTATTTAACATGGAAACCAATTCTAGGCTTCTACCATTCCAAAATTGTAAGATAATACTAACAGTTCTTTTATATGTTCTACTATGTGTGCATATATCTGCTGAGCATGCATATTTTAAATAATATGAAAAACCAATTCCCACACTGACACACACACACAAAAAAAAAAAAAAAAAAAAAAAAAATCAATTTATGTTTTGTCAAATTCGTTTTNAGTTTTACCCGTTTCTCCAAATCATGGTTTCAACTTTCAATATTGATCTGTTTTATTGAGTTTTACCCGTTTCTCCAAATCATGGTTTCAACTTTCAAAGTTGATCTGTTTTATTGAGTTTTACCCGTTTTTAAGTTTAATTACCCACAAGAAAAAAATGTTGATAAAAAAAGATGACATATATGTAAATTACAAAAGTATATATAAAGAAAAAGGTTCAGAAAAAGACAATATTATTTACACATAATTTAAAAGGCACTATCAGTACAAAAGTAAAATCTTTTTTGAACTTATAATATAGTGTAATAAGCACTATTTTTTTTCCACTTCAATTTATGAATGATCACTCTATAGTCTTCATCATGACCCCCAATTAACCACAGTACACTTTCTAACCGCTATAGTCATTTTATTATTATTATTATTTTTTTTTTTTACCATTTTTTACCCTACTCCGAAGTACAATTAATCCATGATTCCACCATACCTTCTCCGGCGGCACTGTTATTCTCCGGCCGCTTCCCTCCGCCGCCATCCAGGAAATCAAATCCGCCGTTCAGGGGCCTCAGGTTAAGACCATGCTTCTCACCTTCTTCCTTGTCCTTTTCCGAGTTATTCCGGTCATCGGAAGACAAGAAACCGTGCCCTTGCCGGCCGGCCAAAGTGAACTGCGCCGGCGGGTGGTCGGGGAACGGGAATTTGGGGTTCGGTTGGAGGAGATTGGCGAGAAATGGGTTTTGGAAGACGGCGGGATCCGAGGTGGAAGCTCCGGCGGCGGTGCTCGAGGTGACGACGGAGGTGGTGGCGGCGGCGAGGAAGGGGAGGGGCGGCGGGTGGCTCTTCTGGGCGAAGAAGGCGGCGGATCTCGGCGGGCCGAAGAGGTCGGTCCGGGCTCGGGGGAAGGACGGGCCGGGACAGGGGCCGCCGCCGAACGGCAGCGCCGGGACTCCGGTGAACTCTTGGACCATGGCCCGGAAGTTGGTGGTGTCGGTCGTGAGGACGGTGGTGGGGGCCCTCCTGGAGGCCCGCATCCGCTTCTTCGGGTTTCGGGCCGCGGGTTGGTTCGGGCCCGGCGGCGGCGGTGTGATGGTGGAGGAGCCGGAGAGCAGGTTGGCGCCGCCGCGGGAGGTGGGGGGATTGGTCGGGTCAGGTTTAATGGAGGCGATCTGGGTCCAATCTGGGTTCGGATTGAGGGGAGGTGATGGGTTTGAGTTCTGGTGGAGGTGGAGATAGTTGGTGAGCGGGTCGAAAAGCGGCGGCGGCGGCGGGTTGGAGATGGGTCCTCCGCCGCCGCTCATGAAGGCAGAGATGGAGCCTCCGGCGGCGCGTGAGTCGTACTCCTCATCGCCGCCGCTGGACGACTGCGGACTCCCGCTGTTGCGCGAATCCATTCCCCTTGTCTATCTTTCTCCCTCTGTTTTTAGTGAGAAAGTAAATTATATTTAAAGAGAGAGAGAGAGAGGTGAGATTTTTTCAGCTAGAAAGAGAGAAGGAGTGGGGTCGCTATGAAAGAGGCTAACTGTGTTTTTAGAGAGAGAAAATTGTAGATGGATCGTATGTCAAACGGGGAAGGATGGTATGGGAGAGGAGAGAGATTTCTTTGAGCGCGTACTAGAAAGCTTTTTATATATAATCATTTTTTATCATTATTAATGTGTTAAATTATAATTTTAACGACTCAAATTAAGAAAAAAATTTCAAAAATTGCCATAAATAATCTTTTTTCTCAAGCCTTAGAGTTCAGTTCGATTCGTTTACTTGAGCCTTAAAAGGCCGATTAGAGCTCATGAGGAATTCATTTCGTTCAACAAATCTACATAGGGATAAAGATCTAATTATATTACCGGATATCTTTTGGTGTATTAGAACATCCCCAATAAACATTCAATTCTCTCATTTAAATGCCTAAAGAGACAAATTCATGAGTTGTGGTCATCCATATAAATGGATGAATGAATGAGCCCACCTCGTTCATTCAATTTGCTGGACGAGGCATCATAGTTATTTTTTAAAAATGTGGTATGATTAGTTATTAGTGAAATTTTGAGTTTATATTAAATTAATATTTAAATTAAATAATTAAAGTTAATTTCATGTAAAAGTAGGTGACAGATAATGTGAAGTTATGATTAGTTAGAATTATTTGAGTAGATGAGTAATGAATAAACGTTGATGTAATGTGTAATAATTATTGATTGATATTATTTATTTATATTGATAATATTGAGGATAATGATATTGAGTTAAAGTTGAGGTAAAAAAAATGATTGAGTTATAAATGATTGATTTTTTTTTTTTTGTTGGATCCATATCCGATCACACCCAAAGTATCGAAACCTTTTTAATTCAAGTTTGAATTTTCAAATTCGTTCGAGTGGGAAACCAGTCGATATGGCCCAATTCGCATCGTACTTGGAAGTGCTGGATCCAAATATTATTCTATTTCGACTCAGTATTTACTTGTGTAATATATGAGCCCAACCTGGGATATGGGTCCCGAATCGGGGTCAATGGGCTTGGACTGCTAGCCAATATTTCAAACTTGTCAGTTTGACGGGTCGACCCACCTTAGTGATAATGTCTAAACGAGTAGAGTGAATGGGTCGGATCGAATGTGGGTAATCCGACCCGAAATCCAAGTCAGCCTGTAGATTTTAATGAACAATTACCACCCAAAATCTATTTATTAAGGCCCATTCAGGCCCAGACGCAGGCCAACCCATTCTGTCGAGTGTCGACCCAAAACAAAATACATCTCGGGCCCGAGTCACGTAGATTCGTCGTCTTCGTGTAGAAAAAGAAATCTATATTCTGAAATGTTCGTGTGCAAGAAGAAAGCCTACTGACGACGTCGTTTGGCTTTAAACCCAAAACCCTCCGAATATAATTTCAATTTTTAGGTTATACACTAGAATGGTATTCATCTACTTTATCCGTTGAAAGAGAATTAAGGAAAAACTGAAGAGATGGTTCACCCCATTTGATTTCTTTGTTGTATGCTAAAATGTTGAGATTATTTTCGCGATAAGATACGCACAGACGGTGAAAAGGGTGCTGTGAAAAATGCCATTGTTGTCAAGAATTGTTTTTTCCTCCTCGAGAAGCCATTCAGAAGCATTTTCTCGGATTTTCAGACGGTAGGATTCATACTTTTAGCTTCTTTTCTTTTTTCGTTATAGTTCACTGTAATTCTGTGGAGGGGATTTAATATCGATTATCGAGATCATGTTTTTTCGCATATAGGGTCGGTTTGGTTGTTTTATTTTGTAATGGGGCTGCATCCTGATATGCTTATTCGGTATTATAAGTTAAGGTTATCTGATAATTTATTGTTTCAAAGTTAAAGAGTTGCATGAAGTCACTTGTTGTAATTTGCCATGTTTGGTGAGGTAAACCTGATTGATAAGTGGTGATGGGTTTTACATTCCTCTACTTTTGAACCGGTATGGGATTGATTCAATCGTGGACTCATGAATAGGTTTTCTTGTTTTAGCGGTTTGTGGTTCGAGAAGTCGATGCTATGATTAATGTGGATGATGTTTATTTAAGCTTTTTACTCATTGGCTTTGTATTGCTCACAGAACTGGTGGTCTGCTCACCTATGTTTAGTGTAATTATATTGTCCGGCCTACAAGTTTTGGTTAGATTGCCTTATAAATGTCTTCTTAGATTGTGATTTTGTCCGCTGTCTTAAGTTTTTAGACAGTGATTGGGGATCGAGAATTATTGTGACCTATGGTTAAACTTTTGCTGAAACTTTTACGATGTGTTCTTTTATTACATGGATCCTTTTTGATAAATAGTTGTTCTTATACTGTGGGAGTGAACTTCTCTCAGGGCAGCATGCAGTCGATGTGAAACTCTTATCCTTATGGAGATGAGCAAACTATATCATGATGTAATAATCACTTGGTTTTAGATTTGTTATTTCCTTAGCAGAAGTGGGGTAAATTGTTATGGCATGCTGTTTGATACATAGCATAACCAAAACCCTCATGTAAATGCATATCCATGAGAATTTAATTATTTATCGTCTGTTATTTGGATAAATGTCTAGTTGCATTGCTGCGTTTTTCCAGGTATGATGGATCCAGAAAATTCTCGTCATCAATCTTCACTAGACCTGCTGGCCCCGTCTGTACATACAGTCATCCATCAACAGAACAGACAATGATGAGAAGTCCCGAGGGTCTGAATTTTTTGATGAAGTATGTATCTCTTTTTTTTTTATTTTTTTATTTTTTGAATTCTCCATACAAATTGTGTTTATTGTGATGGGATGCTGCTTTTGAAAGGATGCAAATATTATGATATGGTGTTAGCTGTTGGCTTTATGCCAGTAACTTTCAGCAGTATTGAGGGATGACTATACTGCTCTAGTCCATAATTTCTCATCACTGACATTCTATTATGCGCTAATTGAAGTTTACTAATTACATATCTTGGTCGAGCAGACTGAGATTTTGGTTAAAAGAGTATTTGTGCATGTTTATGTGATTTTTATAGGGCCTCATGGCTGCTGAAGGGGTTTCTGGTGTAAGTTTATTGTATTTTACCTTTGAATTAGTATCCATAGAACAAGGTATAGTGCTGTTAATGTGCATGAGTTTGATAAATAATGTTAGTTGCTGAAGTAATTATTGGAAGCTTTAAAAATAAGAGATAA